GTGACTTATTCCTTTAAATCATTAACTTTACGCTCTTAAAAAACAAGTTTCTGCTTTTGCAAAATTTTCATAGAAGAACCATTTAGTTCCCCAAAGAACCTCTCAGTGAACATACAAAACGACTTTTTTTCTAATAATCTAAAAAATGTTTTTCCACTAACCTTTTATGCAATGGAAAAGTTTAATTGTTAAAGGAGTAGTTCACTTAAAAAAAAAAAACTTTTGCTGATAATTTACTCACCCCCATGTCATCCAAGATGTCCACTTCTTTCTTTCTTCAGTTGAAAAGATATTAATATTTTGATGAAAATATTCCAGGATTGTCTTCATATAATGGACTTCAATGGGGTCCAAACAAATGAGAATTTCAGTCCAGCTTCAAAGGGCTTTAAACGACACCAGACGATGAATAAGGGTCTTATCTAGGACCCCTCGAGTCAAGATTTGTTCATTTTAATGAACGAGTTTGAACAGGAGAGTCACGAACGTGCATCACAGAACAGAGCAAGATGAGCATTTGAGCTTATAAAACTTAAACTTTTTTATTTATTTATTAAATGAGCGCTCGCTTCGCTAGATAAAACCCTTATTCATCGTCTGAAATCGTTTAAAGCCCTTTGAAGCTGCACTGAAAGTCTCATTTGAACCATGAACCATTTGGTCCCCATTGAAGTCCATTATATGGAGAAAAATCATGGAATGTTTTCATCAAAATCCTTAATTTCTTTTCGACCGAAGAAAGAAAGAAGTGGACATCTTGGATGACATGGGGGTGAGTAAATTATCAGTAAAAGTTTTTTTAAAAGTGAACTACTCCTTTAATGGTTTTTAGATGCCAATAAAGAAGTTTTAAGAGTGCACCATATTGGCACAATTATTCAGTAAGATGCTATCTAGTTTATACTTGCAGACAAACATCTGTTAAACATCTTGAGAAGAGCTAATTCGCAACCATCTCCTAAATGTCTTTTTAACATCTCATATAACGTTGCAAATAAAACTCTCTAAATATGACACTTTTCAGGTTAAAACGGTCTTTCTGAATTCGCCACATTTCTGTTTCGTTTTGTTTCTCCTTCCAAACGAACCAAAGGAGAGCATGACAGGGCATGAAAACCTCAGTGTTTCATCCACCTCTAAGTTGAGCTCTGAATGTTTACTTACCTGTGTGTGTTAAGTGCACCTAAATACTTTATGATGTCTAAGCTGCTGAGAAAGTGTAGCCAGAGGCACGCCAGAGTTCAGTGCATATCAGATGCCTTCTGGGAGCGCTTTAAAGAGCCGCGGGTCCCGCTGCTGTGGTGTCTGAGGAGGAAGACGACACAAGTCTCCTCTTTTCCAAGCGTTCACCCCATTCTCTGCCCATTCCCAGAGGAATTGAGCCTCAAGGATTCGAAACATTGCATTCGAGGCTGATCTGGAAGCATGAATGGATATTGTGCTGTAAGTATTCCGCCGTGTGACGCTTTATTGTTGAAATGCCTCCCGAGAGAGAGGCGGAAGAAAGCTGTAGCTTTACTGCTGACTGCAAACTAAAGCACACAAAGCTTTCACATCATCTCCAACACAATCCTCCACATTTATTCTTCACTGAGCTGCACCACCCAGCAGCACACAGACTCAAACCATCGCACAGAGGCTGCTTTTATCAGATACCTGCTGGGTATTTCACGAAAACTTAAGGCGTCTTTACACAGAACGATTGAGGTGGCTCTGTGTCTGCTCCAAATACAATTACAAGACATAATATAGAAGTAAAATACACCACTCTGACCCACACTGCTCGTCTAAAAACTGGTTTCAGTGCTTCATTAAGTCGTAACAGGGTGAAAGCCACTTCTGGATTGGCTTTGCGGTCCTATATCTGCTATAACCACGGGGTCGCGTTTCTGTAGTTCTAATGAGACATAAGAAAACTACAAATTTGACTTGTTTTACATCAAGCGTTACAATAGTCATTATTTATGTCGCAATACATCATACTTTCATGAAATCATACAACATACTTTATCTTGTCTGTTGACATCGTTCATTCCAAAGCCGGATAAACAGCGAGTGTGTGTGCGAGTGCGACGGTCGGCTAAATTTTGAGGAAAAAACCTGAGGAAAAGTTATACTTGATGTTGCTTTAAAGAAGTAGTTCACTTTTTAAAAAAACCTTTGCTGATAATTTACTCGCCCCCATGTCATCCAAGATATCCATGTCTTTCTTTCTTCAGTCGAAAAGAAATGAAGGTTTTTGATGAAAACATTCCAGGCTTTTTCGCCATATAATGGACTTCAATGGGGTCCAAATGAGAGTTTCAGTGCAGCTGCAAAGGCCCTAAACGACACCAGACGATGAATACGGGTCTTATCTAGCGAAATGATCGCTAATTAAATAAATAAATAAATACAAAAGTATAAGTTTTATAAGCACAAATGCTCGTTTTTTAAAAAGTGAACTACTCCTTTAAGACATGTTTTTTAAACTATATTTTGCATTGCTTCAATAACATTACTTTAGCAATATGATTTCTGTGTAAATGCATTTTTACACCTCAGTACCTGTAAATGCACCTTTTCATTGTGCAGTATATGTTTCCTCAGGTGCTTTTGTGCCGTATTTGCAGAATAACTCCCATATTGCTTGTAATAGCTTCAGTTGCATGACTATCTATTCATTCTTTCTCCATCTATGTTCTTTCAGGTCTGTCATGATGGAGCAACAGCTTGAAGAGAATCTTTCTGAGCAAAAACAGGTCGGTTTATTGACAGACATCTGAAAGAAACTATCACTATACTGTGTTGTTACCACTAAACCAATGCATGCACATGAAGAAGAGCTTTCTTTCAATATGTGTCTACATAAATATGCATTTCCCAAAGTAACTGTCCAACCACTTCTGCTTGTGTTTAACTCAACAGGTGAAGAAAATCTTTCAAACAAAATGTCCAAATTATTGAAGAATGGCCCAATTCTTTGACACATGTGAGTAAATTTGTGGTACTGCACAGATTCATTGTTGACGCAAATCATATTTCTACCAGAGATGATATCTCAATAACAAGTAGACCAGAAAATGAAAACACAAATATTGGATGGCGTCCGTATAGACCATTTCACAAGATGTAAACAACACTGGTCCAGAAACACTTCCTGTTTCAGTTTGTAACTGTTTTCTTTATTTCACATGTAAAGAAAACATCTTAAAGATGTTTGTTTAACTTTTTGATCCAGTTTTAAATGTTCTTTTGGTTGTATTTTATCCCAGCTTTTATGTAGTGTTAAAAAACTGAAACAGGAAGTGCTTCTGGACCAGTGTTGTTTACATCTTGTGACCCCCAGGGAGGTTTAGACCTGGTGGAGGTGGATGTTTGCGTCATCATCTATGAACTCAAACATGTGTAAGTAACAATCTTTTATACTCCATTACATAATGATTGGATAGACCAGAAAGTAATGAGTGACGTAACATAGAGTCTTCCTGGCTGAAGGAAAAACCTACGCTAAAGCGTTTTGATATCACTAAAGCTGCAGTCCGTAGCTTGTTTGGGGTTAAAAATGATCCAAAAAACATATTTATGAAAATACATAACCAGCCAGTGTTAAACTCTGGATTCAAAGCGGTAAGTTTGTAATAAAGTTTTTAATTCCAACGGTACTGGTGGAGACTCGAGCATGTCTTTGCGTCATTACGTCTTCTGTACACATAAAGACGAGTTTCGGCTAGTATAGCCTAAGCTATATTGCGCGTGCGGACGCTGGAGGTGGAGATTTATAGCCTTTTCTTGATATAATTAAACTTATCAATTTAATGGCGGACCCAGAAAGTTTAAACGACAATCGCCAGTGACGCCAGATTCACCCGCTGTAAAATACACAAAAAGAGACCGCATCCGGACCCGTGCAAAAACAAGGATAATATCGGAAGGACATTACATGTAGTCATGCAATGCTGACGTTGTTAACATTTACAATTTGAGAACAAAGTATCATTTGCACGTTTTTGCGTGATATAACTTACAAGCGATTTTTAGATTTAATCAGCGCGATTTACTGCAAAACTATAATTATTAAAAAAAAATAATAATTTCTAAAACTTCGAGATTATGTTCAGTTTAAGAATAATTTTGTTACAGAACCTTATATTTTCCTTAATTTAAAGAGAAGGCAGAGGTCCCTCTGTGCGCAATTGAGAAATATTACCTTACCTCTGGCAGTGGAAGTGGGTCGATTTAAAGGTATACCTGAACATTTACGTTTGTGTGAATACTGTGATCTCAAGGTTGTGGAAGATGAATTTCACTTTGTTTTTTTATTGCCCTTTATACTATGATTTAAGGAACTCTTTTTGAATTAGTGATATATTTTGGAAATATGAAGGGGAGATTCTGTGCTGGCTGTTTGATAATCATGTTTTTGCTTTGGCAAAATTTATAGAAAAAGCCTGGTGTTTACGGCAAAGTATTCTGTATCCCGTATGTCATCTCTATTTGTATACTTATTTTTGTGGTTTAGTTATACTATGTTGGAGATTCTGTCTTATATCACGTGGCTATTTTGGTGATATGTGTGAAGCTGTTGTGTCTAATAAGCCCATGAGGGCTGGGCACCATAAAAGGTATTAAAAATATATAAACAATTTATAAATATAAAATAATAATAATAATAAGTTTTATAAATATATAAAAGTTTGACACTTAAAAATATAAAATAATAATAATAATACGTTTTATAAATATATAAAAGTTTGACACTTAAATAAACAATTCAATCAATCAATCAATCAATCAAATACTGCAATGTCAGAGTCAGAACAAAAGTGTCTTACTTGTTCGGACATTTTTCCGGTGAAAATTATTATGTTGGTCATACTTAAAAAATAATAATCTGTGATTCTGAATGCCAGTATCCACACCGGGGCGACTGACACACACACACTCACTCATTCTCGCTGTGGCACAACTCACGTAAAGTTTTTTATTATATATACAGTTCTGGATTTTTAGCAGACACATATATATGTATACACTACAGTAAAAACTCTGTAATGCATAGCATTTATTTGTTTCAGCAAGATACTAAACATGCCTCAAGTGCAGCTCTCACAGCAATGCTCAATATACTCTGGTCTTATAAGTCGCTCCACATTGTGACCACAATTTCACAGAAACTCCAAAAACTCTGTAAAACCTCTCAATATTAGAAAGCTCCGAAGCATCATCTCTTGTATGGCAGTTTCCCCCTCAGGCCAGCCAGCCAATCAGGTCGCCCCCCTCCCCTCACAGCCTCATGGGAATCGTTGGCAGAGCAGTGTTTCACTGGTGACAGAGCGCCGGGGTTGTCAGGACTCGGTCTCTCCTGCAGTCGTTTTGTTGTTCCTCTTGCTGATACCTGAGGGACCATTAAGCTGAAAATAATTGGCTGCAGATCTCCTCCAGCCATCGATCCTTTGTGTCAGTGAACTCTTTGACATATACAGTAGACACACACACACACACGCATAGCTCTAGCCCCTTGCAAATAATCACTCTAATGTACATTATAATGCGATACATGTATATACAGATTTTCTAGGTACATATAAGGGGGGATCTCCTCAACATACATCAATTATGTTAAAAGGTTAAAGGGATGTATATGTTTTTGATGAGCTGGTTTGTTTTGTATAGCAAAGTGTCCAAGCGAAACAAGAGGAAACAAGTTGCATAAAGCATTAAAAAAAAAAACACTATTTTAACTATTCTGAAGCCGGATGAGAAACAGACACAAATATCCCTTTTTTTTTTTTTTAAATGGGCTAAAGAGTTTCATAGACTTACATTAAAAAAGGCTCCCATAAGATCTAAGGAAAACAATATCATCAAGATTTGAGGGTGGGTGTTTTTATTTATTTTTTAGGTGGACTGCTTTTATATACGTTTTTTTTTAACCGTTTAACGTCTGAATTTATATAGCTGTTTATAAAAAAATGTTTTATGTGTGTTTTTGCCTTTAAGTAGATGGTAAATAATGTTGAGATTATCAATTTCACTTTTGCACAACAAATAAATAGAAATTTTGGTATGTTGCAAATCTGCAACAACGGGCATAATGGTCAATTTGGAGTCAATTTGGTATGTTGCAAATCTGCAACAGCGAGCATAATGGTCAATTTGGGGTCAATTTGGTATGTTGGAAATCTTTAGAAATATGATTAAATGCATAAATGGTCAAGTAAATTGCTAAAACCCCACTGAAGTGTAGAAATGTAATTTACACTGAAATAGATAGACAGGGCAGGATTTATTGAACAGCTCCTCCCCCTTTTTTCTAAATAGCCAATAGCGTTTCGATATCATAGCTCGGCCAGAAAGGTAAAGCCGCAGTTTCCTCCTAATCTCTAACTGTTTCTCCTCCTGATCTCCTCCATATCGCTTTAAAATATAGACTTCTGTGCAGAATTGAATGAGTATATGATCCGCTCTGTTCTATTGTGGACCGAAGCTGCGTGGTTTGCATGACACTAACGTGAAACCAGACTTACGCTGCGTTCATGTGCTATGATAATTATGGTAATTACCAAAAGCCGACGTGGAAAATGCACATGAACACCCCCTCATGTGGTATTTTCTACTGGGCAACTCGTACAATATTTTGATGGACGAGTTGCCGAGATGAGATAACCTTTGACCATTTCAAAATGGCGGAGAGCACCGCGAGAGTTGTGAATGGTAAAAATATATACTATACATGATCTAGAAAATATATTAGCCTATTATTTACCCATTTGCAGATGACTTAAGCAATCTAAAATAGTTTTGGCTAAACAACAGGTCTGGATCTCCATCTTTTTACCACATTACGACAACAAAAGCACTTGAACGCAACACACTAATATCAGTTCACAAGTGGAAAATATCCTATTTTCCATAGCACGTGAACGCAGCATTAATCTGCCCCAATGGAAAACATATTTGCACTATGAATTGTCCCCTATCCCCTATGAAGGGCACTATCTGCCATTCACCATTGAAAATACTAAGTGTGTGAACAAGTGACCGATTTCAGCATCTCTTTATAATGTAGGGGGCGGGGCTTCACATTCTAGAGAGCATTTGATTGGACAGAAAATCTGATGAGAATTTTCCTGAAGTGCAGTGATGTCATCAAAATCATTGATCATATAAGTGAGAAATTGTAAGCTCTGAACGCTTAGATCTTCTAAATGCACATTTTGTCGTTGTTTTGGAGCACACTAGGTTACAGACAGTGTTGGGTGTAACTAATTACTAAGTAATTAGTTACTGTAATTTAATTACTTTTCCCTTGAAAATGTAAAGTAAGGGATTACTCTTCATTTATCTGTAATTTAATTACAGTTACTTCTGATGTAATTGAGGTAAATACTGTGTATAGATCAATCCGATCTGACAGCGATTCATATGCATTTTATCGTACGACCGCACTCGTACAAATTCGTATGAATTATTGTAAAATATGTATGAAAAAAGTGTGAAATGTCTTGAGATCAGACATAAAACAATAGTGGGTTTAACATCAAAATGTATTGTCTGATGTTAAAAAGTATGTTTTTGTAATGTAACCTTCTCCACCTCGGACAGTTTAAGGATAATTCATGCAATTTTATAGTATTTATTTGAAAGAATTAAATCAGATTCATGTCTATCCTTGTATTATTCAGCTGGTTGAGATTGATATGAGATTTTGAAAGTAATTGAAGAGTTCAGATGCAAAAGCCTCTAAATGCCATTTGAAATTTTCTTCTTTAATGATGATTTTTATCAAACTTGTATATTTAAGTTCAGTAATTTCACTTAAATAACAATTAATAGGTAATTATCATTGCCATTTAAGTGAAATCACTGAACTTAAATATACAAGCTTGATAAAAATCATCATTCTAGAAGAAAATTTCAAATGGCACTTAGAGGCTTTTGCATCTGAACTCTTCAATTAGTAATTAAAAGTAATTAAATACTTTTTAAGGAGCGTAATTAGTACAGTAATCTAATTACACTGTTGAAGAGGTAATTAGTAACTAGTAATTAATTACTTTTTTAGAGTAACTTACCCAACACTGGTTACAGATAACAGTTAGACTAACATATTCATACTAAAAGCGAAAAAACATCTCGCGTTTCACGCTGCGCTTCTGCTATTATATATATATGAAGAGTTCAGATGCAAAAGCCTCTAAATGCCATTTGAAATTTTCTTCTAGAATGATCATTTTTATCAAGCTAGTATATTTAAGTTCAGTGATTTCACTTAAATTGCAATGATAATTACCTATTAATTGTTATTTAAGTGAAATTACTGAACTTAAATATACAAGTTTGATAAAAATCATCATTAAAGAAGAAAATTTCAAATGGCATTTAGAGGCTTTTGCATCTGAACTCTTCATATATAGGCTGCAGTATGGTGTTGTCCATCAGACGACTCTATGCTCCAGCAACACACAGACCCGAGAGTCGAGACTCCGGCTAATAGCGACTCAGCCCTTGTAAAGTGCATTTATCTTCCGCTGTCTCCCTTCATGTTTATTCAGCCAACGGCGCGTTTGATTAAATCTCCAACCGTTTGTCATCATCTCTGGCCCCTTGACACTCGAAGAAACACCTCGACAAAGACCTTCATGGCTATTGTATTAATATGAGGACCGCGCCAGGATTACTCAAAAGCATCCTGCCCTTTATGAAAACACATCCTGAGATTCATCAAGGACGTGTGTCGTGTGCTGTGGTAATGAGGAGGATAGGCCTATTCTGTACGGGCTTACCCTCCTATTTTAGACCTACCGATATCAATTAACTCCCCGGCCATGTGCATTGGAAACAGGTCAGCCATAATCGAATGTGTTTGTTATATCTTACTGTATTAGGTACAATTAGGCCGATTCTCTCACTGAGGCCTCCAGATTAATTGGAGTAATCGCCTGTCACTGTGTTAAATATCTAAATTCCTCCCTCAATGGCAATACAAACACACAATGGGTCTCATTCATGAAACACGAGCTGAACGAATTTGTGTGTAAATCGTGTGTAAAGTGGTTCTTTCGGATTCATGAAAATGTTCGTATTTTCCAAATGTTAGTTGGTACGCAAGAAATCTACACTTGTAAATGGTGCGCTTAACATCCGAACGTTTTGCTCATTAATAAGGCTGCACCTTAATCGGGTACATATTTAAACAGCATTTTGAAAAAGTGTTTTATAAAGTAATTACATACGGTTTTTCTTTTTACTTCTACACTGTAAAAAAATATTTTTGGTTTAACTTAAAAAAAGTAAGTAACCTTGTTGCCTTAAAATTAAGTTAATTGAACTGGAAAAAGTGAGTTAATACAATGAAGGAGATTAATTTAACCATCAGAAACTCAAAATTATATGTTATCTGAACTAAATAAATTAAGTTGATTTGACAAAAGAAAAAATGTTGTGATTACTAAACTGTAAAAAAATATTGTTGGTTTAACTTAAAAAAGTAAGTAACATGGGTTGCCTTAATTTTAAGTTCATTGAACTGGAAAAAGTGAGTTAATACAATGAAGGAGATTAATTTAATCATCAGAAACTCAAAATTATATGTTATCTGAACTAAATAAATTATTTAAGTTGATTTGACAAAAGAAGAAAATGTGATTACTACACTGTAAAATAATATTGTTGGTTTAACTTAAAAAAGTAAGTAACCTGGTTGCCTTAAAATTTTAAGTTGATTGAACTGGAAAAAGTGAGTTAATACAATGAAGGAGATTAATTTAATCACCAGAAACTCAAAATAATAAGTTATCTCAACTAAATAAATTATTATAAAGTTGATTTGACAAAAGAAAATATGTTGTGATAACAAATCTTGACAATATTTTTATGAGAGCCAGTAATAGCAGATCTGGTGATCGATGGCGGTCCTTCTCCAGTTTGAATACGATTTTTCCGAAGTGAACTAATTCGTTTTTTGCTGTCAAGCTTAATGTCGAACCATTTTCTTCTCACTTCTGGGACTGTTCGATTAACACATGAAACTCCATTAAAGGAGAACTCCGGCGAACAATGAACCTTTGGTCTAATAAAACATCGGTACCTAGTCAATCGTTATCTGAGTTTTGTTTTCATGATAATCGAATGTAAAGAGTTTTATCTCTAGAAACTGTTTAGCGTATAATGCTAGCAATGGGGGCATTGACTAAGTAAAAAGAAATCGCTAGTTTATACCACTAACAAGGCTCAAAACATCCCCACACTAACACAGTAACATAATGAGGGTCCATACATGCAAAACGAAGCATTGAGAACATTGAGACCGTTTAATAAGAAGATGCGTTATAAAGACAGTTCACTTCGAGTATACAGACAGGAGCCATCTTAGAAAATAGTCTCGATAAGTCAAACCACAAACTATTATATATATATATAAATAGGTTTGATCACATCGCGGCTATAATCCAATGCAAATCTTTAGACATCACAGATTTGATGTAACGTTACATTTGCATCAGTTTAGTGCACTTTCAAAGAATGCATCTTTACTTTGTGTGTGTGTGTGTGTGTGTGTGTTGGAGCTATTAAACTAGCTGTGTTTCTTTATATTAATTGCTGTTTCAGGTCAGTGGTTGCTACTCTTAATTGTGGTTGTAGGGAGCAGGGGTGAGGACGGCTGCCCGGGCCACGTTGCCGTGTTTTAATGGGGAGATGCGGTATAATAGCTTTGACCTCTGACCTTTTGTGGTGACTATAGCTCATTATGCTGATCTGTGAGTGTCAGAGCGGCATCTGAGAGCCAGCGAGCGTGTGTGTGCAGTAAGGTGGGTCACAGGAGCGACGCTGCCAGCACCTCACCCCTCATCTGCAAATAAAATACAATCACACACACACACATACTAATTAAAACCGGGAAGAAGGCCACTGTTTTCTATTCATTGTCAGTTGCATTTCTCCATGCATGGATAGTCCAGTGCACGGGTCCAGGAAATCTACGTTCTTTGCTCAGTTCTTGCTTTTTCTCTCATTGTTTTAGTCTGCACACACACACACACACACACACACTTTCTCAGGCCCTGTTGCACCAATAAACAGTGTAATCGTGGAGGGGTTTGAATAACTTGAACTTTTATCTTTTGGTTATCAGCTTTTCATCTTCTGATGAATCCCTGTTAGGAAACCCTGATAATATTTAGTCTGCTTTTTATTTACATGCTTTAATACAATGCAGATATTTGAGATAATCTGTTATTGATTTAACTTGCATTGTTTGTTAATTTCAGAAACCTTACTCTTCCTCTATTAAAGTAGTTCACTTAAAAAACAAACAAACAAGATGTCCTTGTCTTTCTTTCTTCAGTCGAAAAGAAATTAAGGATTCCAGGATTTTCTCCATATAATGGACTTCAATGGGAACCAAACGGTTCAAGGTCCAAATGAGAGTTTCAGTGCAGCTTCAAAGGGCTTTAAATGATTCCAGACGATGAATAAGGGTCTTATCAAGCGAAACGATCGCTCAGTTAAAAAAAAATTAAAAAGTTTAAGTTGTATAAGCTAATATGCTCGTTCTGTTCTGTTCTGTTTAAGCTTATAAAACTTAAACTGTGTTATTTATTTTTTAAATGAGCGATCGTTTCGCTTGATAAGACCCTTATTCATCGTCTGGTGTCGTTTAAAGCCCTTTAAAGCTGCACTGAAACTCATTTGGACCTTGAACCTTTTGGTTCCCATTGAAGTCCATTATATGGAGAAAATCCTGGAATGTTTTCATCAAAAACCTTAATTTCTTTTCCACCGAAGAAAGAATGACATGGACATCTTGGATGACATGGGGGTGAGTAAATTATCAGCAAAAGTTTTAACTACTTTAACAATTTAATTATCGAACATCATTTCGTGAGTTCCCCTTTTAAGTTCCCTTACTTGTGACTTTTATCAACATCACATACTAAGTTCTTTTAGATGGCATCCATGAAGTCTTGGAATGTATTTATACGTTTTCTATAACTGGTACATTTGAAACCCTTGTTTTTGATTGATAGGATGATTGATTGTCATTGAGTCCATTACAAAGTGAAGTGGTCACATGTGTGTCTCTGTGACCGGATCACCTGAGACGGATGTTAATACCAGGTTGAAACGAGGTCAGTTGTTTTTTCTTTCATTAATTATTTTTCTTTCATTAAAATTTGTTTTTTCTTTCATTAATTCATTCATTTCTTTCATTCTCGGCCTGTCCGTCTTCATTTCTTCACCTGATTAAGAGTATCAACTGCAATGAAGCCACTAAGTAAACTTATGCAGCAATTTTGTTATTTGTTATAACTGTGTTTTTATATATTGCATCCTGATTGATTGGAGAAGCGCATCAATTTGGATCAACACTGTATGGTTTGGGTCATTGACCACCACGCTCAACAAGAGTCGTCCACACAGAAGGATCCATGTAAGTTTGAACATATTGATGATGGCTGATGGTAGGAAAATAAACGTTTTAGCGCAGCGCTCAAAAACACCATTTAGATTGTGGTGAGATCTGGTACTACCTCAGCCCTGAAGAGCGCCTGGTATCGAAGTGGCCAGGTGCCTTTTGCTGTCAGGTCAGAATTTCTGGATAAACGTTCCTTATAGCTCATTTAACCCATACCAGTAAATCTAGGTGTATCCCTACACTCATGTGAACCAATACATTATTACTAGCAACAACCATCAATTCAATTCATACTCACCCTCCGTGGAGATGCTTCCGTGGAGTCCTGGTGACCTCTTGCCCTCGCAAGGGTTGCTTTAATGCTCTTACTATTGCTTATAGAACTGGTATTGTGACCCGAGGCAAAGAACTATTCAACTTTTATCTTTATAAAATGAAAATTTATTTATACAAACGATAATAACACTGGTTACACAATGATTGTTAATAGTAGCAACAAAAGAAAAGGTTACAGATTATAATACCTCAGTTTCTCCCAACTTAACAGGGCAGTCCTGTATAAGTGGTTCAGTCACAAAGTTTTTCTTAACATACACAGTTCAAGTATCAAATGAATAACTAACCTTGTCCTTCTATGAGCAGGTTAAGTTAACATCATACAGCTAAGCAGTTAAAGCAATATATGCTCCAGCAAGCTGGACTGAAGAATGATTATCCTCAGGGATGCACGCAGAATGTCTTCTAGCAAGACGCAACAACTAACACTGAGAAAGCAGCCTTATTTATACTGGCTGTGTGACACAATCTCTCAGACCATCTGGGTTTTTCCAACGGATACCCTTGCGACACAATAGTCATGCGACTCCTAGTTCCTCTTTTGAGATTCGCTGAGCAGGCACTACGTGTGCATTCTTTCTCCCCTTCCGAGTCTTGGGTTCTCTGGTCCTTCTTGAATGTGTACATGCATATAAATTCATATGTGTTTTTGTAAGTTCATTAAAATCTAAACTCTGCGGTACACCCCCTCTTGAAGTCACAAAAACACGCTTAATAAAATCCCTCGGATAAATAACATCAAGTTCATCAAGTTTAACATTATAAACATAGACAGTGGGCACCACAAAATCCAAACAACACTCATAAAACCTATATCTTAACTCAGACTCTCTTTGGAAGAAGCCAATTATCAGCCTTCCGTACTGTGCCAACAGACAGCCCATCGTTTGTCGATACCAACGCCGGTCCACCGGCATCCACCGGAATGAGCCCTTTTGTCTTGGGGCCTGGTCCATTGTCACCAGATCTACCAGGGCCAAGGCCAGTTCGCTTCCCCTGGCTGCTATGCCCTCGTTCAGCACTCTTGGTTCCCATCGAACCTGTGTCAGACGCTCCAGGCAGATCTATATTGGGATCAAGGACAAGCACACAGACAATTTGGCCATTAATACACGCCTGTCTTGTGCAAAAGCCCAGGACTTCCTTGTGTCTTCTTGGATAGGTCTGAATGTTAACACAGCAGGTATTCTGAAATATTTGCTCCCCCAGACTAAACAAACGTTCGAATCCATCATCTAATTCGATGACTTTCCATTTCATGTCAAGGAAAAATCTCATTTCCCCATATGTAAAATTATGAGTGTTGCCCGGACCTCCACTCCGTGTCCCATGCCTGTCAAAGCAGATGCGAGTCATTTGTCTCATGCTAAAACCCAGTTTCATCACACATTCTGGACAATAAACTCTTACGTCCTTACACTCTTGTTTATATGCTTCAATTCTCATACTCTAACTCTTGAACACATCAAAACATTCTTCACAAATTAAAAAATGCCCAAGCTGCGTCGCCCTCCTCCAGTCAGCAGGGACCTATAGTATGATAACAGAAAATCATAATACAAACAGTAAATAAACCATGTCATTAATGAGGTAGTTCAAACAAAAAAGACCACCATTATATAAAAAACAAAAACAAAATTCGTTTCTTCAACCCCAAATAAACCAAACGAACTTTCTAAGTGTGTTTCTTCTTTCTTTGTCTTTTCAACAATGACCCCGTCAATCAAACTGTCATTGGTCAGTTGCTGCCCCCCAGGGGGCCCTTCCTGAACGCAGCAACCCCATGACTTGACTGGCCACCATAAATTAAAATTTCCAAATACATGAAATGAAGTAGTTCAAAAGAAAAAAAATGAAAACATTGTTAACAAAACAAAATTGCTTTTCATTTCGAAAGAAACAAACTAAATCCAGACCTTTTTATAAAACAATTTGTAAACTCAACAAATTGGCGAACTCAACATGGTCAGTCAGCGACAATAATCGGGTTTTTTTTTCCTTTTTTTTTTTTTCTTTCCCGTCACTTTTCTATCGATCATTATATTTCCCAAATTATTGAAACAAAAATCATCATGAAAACAATTTGTGACAAAAAACAAAATAAACAAAACAAAAGAATAACAACCAGCAAGTGCTCTTTTTTTTTTTTCTCAGCACCGTCAAAGTCATTCAGGTTCGTTTTTTTCGCTTCTTTTTCTTTTCATCCACAAATAATGCAATCAGTTCGACAATTGTCAATCATCTTCCACATATAGCTATAATCATTAATGCCCATCAGAATGGCTAACATGAATAGCTTTGGCTCGTTCACTTGTCTTGAACTGCCAGCAATAAGTAAAACCAAAAAATAAAGAACAGCCAATTTTTTCACCAAAGGCTTTAAAACAGTATTTCTTCTATAGCTTAAGATAATCAAAAATACGTATGTGATGAGCGCAAGCCCCACACCTACGTATTTAACCCCAATTAATTCAACGTAGCATTTTGCGAAATTGTACACAGTTATAGCTATGGAAAAAACCATAACTGCAACAATTCCCTTTTTTCCAAACAATTTAACATATCTCGCACTTCTCAGCAGCTGAGACACTAGAATTAGCACTAATGAAATATCGTCCAAAAAGTTATAAAGGCCAAGGCTCAAAAACATCAATACTACTTGCTCCGGCATTCTTTGACTCAATATTCCAGATATCCAATATACAATCAACCATAAATTTATAGAAACTATACTCACAATTTCTTTTGGTCTGTCAATGCAATGCCTTGTAGTATTGCTGTAATTGCCTGCCATTTAGTCTACTGCTGCTGTTGCGAATAGAAGAAAGTTAGAGAGAGTGAAGATAGCCTCCTTGTCCGCCACCAACTGTGTGACCCGTAACCTTGTCCGCTCTTTTTGACACTTTCGCAATCCCTGTGCCTGCACTTCCGTCCCCTATTTGGTCATAAGAGGAACTAGAGCCTGTCTGTCCTCTGTCGAGTCAGGCAATTTCGACAGTTTCCTGCAGACCAGCCCCAATTTCGAAAGTTTAACGAACACGACCACCATGACTATTATTCCTGTAACAATAGCCAGGCAGATTATGGCAATCTTTACGTGAAACCAAGATTGCACTATTATGTCCCACACGGAGACAGCGAGTTCTTTAATGTTATCCAACACCCATAGAATAGCCTTTTTCTGCACTTTCCAATATACGGTAAAAATATCCCCCCTATTTGGCTTAATCAATTGAGACTCAAAGTCCCAAAAAAAACAGAAACCCTGGCCCCATGGACAGTCCCTCCAGGAAATCGTCTATAGGGTCATAAAAACTCTGTGATTCTTCGGCGCTATTCAATAGAGCGGAGAAAGCGCATTTGTTCATTATCTGATTACGCGCAATCATCATAAAGGGAGCTGCACCGGTTATCGAGCTTATATCAACCGCCCCACTTACACTACCAACTCGATCTGTGCCAATCACTTTGAAATTTTTAAAAGTACAAAAAACATGTTCATCTCCATGCATCCACGTAATGTTAGGACTAAATATATTTCCTGGGGTTTTAATTTTCCATGAATTAAACATTTCCATGTCACAATATTGCTCTTTCGCGGGTATCCACAACTACTTAACCTCATCCCAATGCCTGTACACAAATTTTCCCAAACCCATGTTCCAGACATTTGACCGTTTCTTTACCTCATCACGGTCATGGTCCTCAGGCCTCAGACTATGTCTCGAGAATGAGCCACTGTCTTTGATATCAAATTTGGGCGAGGCCATCAGAATTTTATAGTCAGTTTTTGTCGCACCGCGCCTTTCTGAAGGTTTCAACATCGGCAAATAATATTTACTACTCCAAAAACCATGCGCCAACGTTCTGGTTTGCATCCCTAAGGTTTTATTCCATCTTGTCCACACGATCGGGAATATACTCTTATTAGCCGGATGATTATGGAACGACCTCCAGCTTACAGTACGCGTCGTTGTCTTATCCAGCCCCATTACCACTGGAAAAACATCCCACACCCTATACATAAGGTTAGAAAGTCCAATCCATCTTAAAGTCCCCTTGTTAGCAGCATCACTATGGTTCGCCCAAATACCTTGATTTGTATGGGTACTCCGATGAACGCCGTCCCAACCCATACAGTACAGGGCAAGAGCAGACCTGTATTGCTGGTTAGTCACATTACTCAAGATATAGTCCATAATGCCCGAGTAATTCGCCAGTTCTATCGACAGACCTGGTCTGGGCGCATAATCTAAGGTCAGGGGATGCAATCTCTTACCCCCTACCCCATTCGCCCACAAGGTGGCGTTGATCGTCCACGTATCGCGCCTACTCTCCCTCTTCACCATGTCATTACTCGGATCCTGCAACAACATCCAATCATGCCACAGGTTAATAATATCATTACCGTGCTTTTCGAATTCCTTATAGTCCCATTTAGAGGTGCTATTCAGATAACACACCCATGCGGTCGTCTTACCATAATCAGTTCTGCAATGCTGGTCAATGTTGTACCAAAACTGATCTTCCGGTTTACTACTTACAAATTTGTTCTTGGTCAACAACGGGCACTTACTGCGCCTCTCACACATCCCAATAGGCATGACCAAATGTTCGCACGTTACCCAATTTAACTCAACATAGGCCGGCTTAGGTTTATTTTTATAAACTCCGACAATTAAAACGTGCGGATTTAGACCCTTGGGCCAATAACTTTGTTGCACTGGGTCTGAATTATCTTCATTATTCCATGTTTGGTCCGTGATCCGATAATTCGCCCCCTCTGGGGCAGATCTACCGCTACGTCTTTTATCTGCTGGAACTTTATCAATTTCCATCTCTATCGACTGATCCCCAACAGATTTACCCAACCATTTATTACTATGCTCCGTAACAATTTCCTTGGTCAAACAATCCCAATGTTGCACTCCGGTTATCTGGAGAACCGGACTATTCCATATTTTGTACACATGCTTACTAAACGTCAAATTAGTGATATCAGTGAGATTGTACTTTAGGCCCCTTAGCTTCACGTGCGTCTGATCATGACCGTCAATAATATTCCATCTCAACCGGGTACTATTCTTAATTACTCTACCCCCGTAAAGAGCTGGCCCCTTAGTAGCACTTATTTTCCGAGCCCCTGTACAGTTCCAAAATGATTAGTCTATATTTTCTATCATTCCTTTAAACATGTCCCTTATCATTTTCGAGCCATATTTCACCCCACCAATATTCACTGTTTGCTTATAGCATATTTTTAACACTAATTTCTCAACCTCAGAGCAGGAGGATACGCTAACCAGTTCTGTCTCGTTATCTCCTGATAATCCAAGACCCAATATTAACAATGCTATTCCCAGCATAGTCAGCGCTGACAACAGGCCGATTCTCAAGCTGCTTTGCTTCCTCCGCAGCTTTAGGTACTTCCTCTCCAGATGTATCCGCTGTTTCGCCATCCTGCTTCTGTAAAACACACAACAGACACAGAGACATATATCAACCTAAACTTTCCCTAGCCTTTGCCTGATCCAGATTGTCATTCTGCTCAGTGAGCCGGGCTTTGTTATGCTTGATCTGATGAGTTTGACCCCTTCTATTGACTTTCCTACTCCGAGAAAGTCGGATGTAGTTGTCAAATGGACCTGGAACTGCCATAGTTCCCTTCTGTTGTCCGGGCCAATTTAAACTTTCACTCACTCTGTCCCTACAAAAGTCTGTTGTAATCTAGCTCTTACAGTCAGAGAAGTTCCCCTGACATAAAGGCTATATTCTCTGGGCATATACGTAAATTGGATATTCTTCCTGAAAAGACATTTCCTCCAACAAGTTAGTCATCATATCATGCATTCTTGCTTCTTTATATACCCCCTTGATTTTATAACTAATCAAGTGCTCCTTCTCTTACAGTGGGTCCCTTACGACCTTCTTCCAGAGGTCTAGGTCACTGTCTCTGGCCAGTGTTTTATCTAACACCCCACCTTTCACTAACGGATCTGAATCCCTTAGAACCGGTCCCCCCGAACACAGCAATCTTTCCCACAAGAAGGCTTTCTCTGTGTTATTGGCTAAGGCCAGCGGATTCACGTCCCATTCCGTCATGATTATGTCCTTGGCTAAACATCCTAAGCTTGTTTCGCTCTTTCTAGTTTGCCAGACACCCTTGAAACTGGTTACCTGTAACCATCGTTTCTTAAGCAGCAGCTTGCATCTCTCACATCTCGCAAGCTCACCTAGGTCATTTAATGTACACTTACATTCTTGACCTCGTAGATTGTGCTTCAATCTACAGTCGGTACAGGTCTAACATCCACCAGTACCTATGGCCAGTTCATACTGCCATACACTTCATAGCTGCCTTTGCGTTCGACAGCTTCCGCATACAGTAACGTCTCCCATCGCACAGGCCCCCATGGACCTATCTGTGCGGAACCATTTGGGCAAAATTGTCAGCTGAGCTCTCAGCCACGCCTGACTTTCCCGTATCTCTCTCGGCCCCTCCCAGAGCAGGCTGCAAACTTCCTGTTTGCTACAGAACACACAGTCAATAGGCTTTTCCCTAACTGACGGAGTTCCCTCCCGACAGTCTTTATGCCATGTTTTAACTAAGAATGAATCACTAAAATCTTTACACACTACAAATAGGCCTTCCGCTGGACCCTTTATGCCCTGTTGGAAGGATACTTTTGCTGTGATGATTTTATTCATAATCTTATTGACAATCATTTACTCCCCACCAGTTTTTTGATTGACCAAACCCTGTTCGCTTCCCGCCGAACCGTGGTATTGGAGGTTAACTCAACTACCTTATCTTCAGTTCCCGTTGTTGCCCTAAACCTCTTGTCTTTGCGTTTGAGTAAGATGTAAACTGTCTGTCCTACCTTAAACGTTTCTTTGCTTTATATTTATTGGTTCGGGCTTTTGGTTAGGTTTATCAACCCTGTAATTTGGTATAAAGCGTACAGATATTAACTATCGAATCCCATTCGCTTAAGCTTTGATTCTTTACAAAGAATTCTTTCACACTACGAACGGCATGCTCTGCTATGCCAGCCACGCTTAACTGCTTCGACTAAGGTTGATCCATTTTTGTTACAAAATGTTTGTTACCTCACTTCCAGTGAAATTATGCGCGTTGTCCCCACGGACTCTCGCGGGCCTCCCCCGATATTTAATCCCCTCTTTAAGGCTATTATCAACTACCGCGCTGTTCGCCTGTGGACACGGATAAATGGATATGTTTGTTTGAAATTTGGTACAATTGACCACTAACACTAAGAAATACACATTCTTCATTTTCGTCTTCGGATATAAAGGCCCAGCAAAGTCTACACTTATTTTCTCGTGTTCTTTTTCCGTCTTAATGTGTCCAAAATCGTGTTGCCCACTGGACATCACCTTGCTGCCATCAGGACACTTTAGTTTAATCTTCTGATAAATTTCCATGCATTTCCATGTGGTCTTTACATTTTATAAATGCAGCCCTAGCTGCTTACAATATTTCGCAACATATGCTGTGGACGGGCGGTTCAGCTTATCGTGCAGCTCTTGGAGCAAGTTCCCCTCACTCTCTTTCGTAATCGCTCTCACGCGCACATACCGATCCACTTCCCTGTTTCCTACAGCTGCCGGAGTTTTCTGGATCGGGTGACTGGAATGGTGCAATGCTCTCGGTTGCACCACCCGGGTACATTCACTTATTATTTTCCACAACTCCGCCTGTGCCAGTGGTTTACCCTTAGCATTATTAAAATTATTCAGTTCCCATGTGGACAGGTTTTTGAACAATGCCCAAATACACGTATTCACTATCGGTGACTAATATGCATTTTTTGCAGTTGTTATTCCTCCTGTGCATGATTGCCATTGCACCAGCTAACCTCCGCTTCCTGGGCGCTCTTGTCATTTTCTAACCTGCTTTTCTCCTTGTGAATAATTCTTCCTTTCAATTCGACCATAAATCCCTAACAGGTTTCTCCCTTCTCCGAACTACCGTCAGTGAAGTAACAAATCTGTTCAGGATCCATCACGGTCTTTTTGCCCCTTTCAGGACTTCTCTCATTTCCAAGCTCAAATTATTTATCATCGATTATTTTTATCCACTTTGACCAAGTAAACACATGTACGCGCTTATTCTCATTGATCAAGTTTTTTTTTTTTTTTTTTTTTGCTTCCCCCGCTAAGAGGTCGATCCCTTCCCCTTTAGCAACTATAATAATTAGTTTTTTCTGCCGCCAACGCCTTAATGGCGAGCAGATCCTTAGCAAGTTGTGACTAGAATACCAGCAGGTGACATATTCACATGCTTCTTATGGTTAGCTGGTTTCTCGTGCGAAATGAACATAACCGAAGATTTTTGAATCCCCTTCGTTATATAATATCAATTCCATTTTCTCGGGTCTATTGTCAATCTTAACCCTGAGGTTTTTTTTTTTTATCAGGGTTTCTCCTGACAATCCGCCCCGAAGCTCAGGCCATGTCAATTATGTCACCTTTGATATTTTCCAGTCTCTCATCCTAATTAAAGCCATTTTCTGCCATAGATTTATACAGTATTTTTGCTTTAGCACTGTATCCTGGAATTAAATCTCTCACAAAATTTTAATCTGTTAATTTAAGTCTTTTAATCCTTTAACCTCATCAATTTTAATTGTAATCTTCAGGCCCTGCAACTGTCTCAAGCTTGTGATTCGTTCCTTTTTAAACTCTTCTAGTTACCCTTATTTCTATGTAGATGGCTCTATTAAGCGGGCACTGTCTCTGTGGCGCAGGGATTCCGCCTAATATTGTGTACTCATATTTCTTGTGTAACTTTCCACAATCATTATTGCTCTTTGCGCAGTTATTCTTTTATTTTTCTAATCACTCTCTCAATTCGTCTTTAGGCAGAGTCTTTTTTACGACTCTATTTATCTCATACTCCGGGCTGACCTTAATCCATCTGATTCGTTTATCATTATCAAGATTTTTATCGTGCATTTCCTTAACATAAATGCCATCTATAACATTCATTAAATTTGAACTGTCCACTATACAGTGTAATCCTTCCCAGCGGTACCTACCTCTGGATCATGGTTTCATTTCATTGCTTAAACCATACACTCTGTGCTGCCCATCTACATTCACAGCCCCGGGAGGCCATTCGGTTAATGGGGTGACCTCGACGGTGATGGTCGCTTTTCCTGGAGCTTTATCGTCCTATTTGTCAGTATTTCTAGCTGGCTTGTTGGATCTGACTCCTTGAGCTCGCTCTGGTTTCAGTTCCTCTTTTTTGGTTCCGTTTTCCTATCTGTGCTTTTCTCTAGAGTTATTTTTCTGCCCTGGTCTGAAATGCTGTTTAGGTTTCTGATACACAGGATTTTTTGAGGGTTCTTTTCCGCTTGTCTTTATTCATACAGCATTATTTATTCTATTTCTCGCTGGTTTAAAGCTAGCTTTTGGTTTTATCCTGTCCCCCTCTTGCAGTCTACTCCTGCCTGGGTATGATCTCTTCCCTTATTTGTTTAGTATTTCTGCCATACCTTACTGCGAATTTGGACATTTCAGGCCAATCAGTTTCTGACCCTCAACGAGCTATTTCTTTACACCCCGGCAATTCTGCGGCCAGCGTTTTCAATGGTGCTAACACTTTGGTTTCAGTCCACCCTTTGTCAGCTTTTTCAGAGCGATAAGCCCACAGTCCTGTGGTTCTTAACACCTCTAACTCCTTTCTTAATTCTGCTTTGTTATCTTTCCCTATCACATGAACGTAATGTGATTCTATAGCTTGTAATTTCAACACTATCCCTGTATAATGTCGAATCCTTTTGCTCTATTAGGCCGGTAGGTGCATTTAGCATTTTTCCTAAATCTGCTACCATTTTCGCCTTTTTCATGATATCTTTTACCCCTTGAAATCACATGTTTTGCAATAACTGGATTGCAGAAACTCTATCGCCCTTGGCTTGTCTCGACGGACCCCGCCTAGGTTTAGAGCTATCATCTTCCCCTTTCTGAATTTGGCTTACTGCCCCTTCTCTGTCTTGCCATGGCTGCCATGAGAGACAAATCTGCTGTTTATTTTATTAGAGAGAGTTTCTTTGGTTTTGTAATTTTCTCTTGGTATCAGAAGTTAAGCAATCGTATTCAGATTGCGAATCAGAGGACTCTCCTCCTAGCTATAGAATTTGTCCTCGTGTTACCCTAACACGAGTTGTCTCGCTATTTTCCCCTGGCAATAATTTTGGGCGAGGGGCTCCACTGTTCAATCTTTGACTTGCTTCTCTGAGCTTTACTTCTATTAGGTGCTGGCTCCCTACATTGCCTTTCTCATTTTTTTTATGTCATTAATTGTCGGTTTGTGTTCTTCTTTTTCATTTTCATCTAATAACACGTAACATAATGCCTCTTGCATACAATTTAATTGTTCTGCCAGCATGTCTATTTTCGCCTTGGAACTAGTTCCTGGCATGTCCAAGATTTCATCTGGGGTTGGTCCTACGGCCAGTTTGACTATTTTTTGCTGCACCTCTGTAAGCGATGCCCACTGTGGGTCCTGCGGATCGAACACTAAACCCGGGCAGGTTAGAAATGTTCTACCCCCGAGGTTTTCATGGTCCCTTTGTACCGAGCCACTTCGCCCCTCACACGATTGGCTCTTTGATCGCTTGTAATTAACTTTCTTTCGTTTAGGTAACATTTCATCCTCGCTATAGCCCGTACTCGAACTATCACTTGAATCTTCCTGACCCAGTTTTCCATATTTATCTTTTTTCTCGGTGGAAGTCTGACTCGGCCTAAACGCGGATTTTTTCCTTTCCCACGTTTCTTCTTCCCATTTTGAGGGAGAGAAACCGGTGATAAAGTTCGTATGTTTTACAATTGCCCCTGACTCTGTCGCTGCTTGTGCTTCTGCCCTATCTAGGCGGTTGTAAACGCACTCGGCTGTTTCCTCCCTGTCAGTATGTACTGAGAGGGACGGAGATCCAGCGGAGCCTCTAGCTCTTTGGTCTGGGATCCCGCCTCTAGTTACCTGTATCTCTTTACCTGGAACTATCGGTAGGGAGACATCATGGTCCCCTACTTCTACAGTGATCTTGTCACTTCGAGTTTGTTCACCGACGGTTTGGACTAATCTTCTTAATCCGTCAACGGTAGGTGTATACAAAGTACACTCAGTAGCTATGAGCTCCTCAGTTTCTTTTAGCCCTGCGTCTTTCAAGCGCTTGCTAAATTTATCTGGTGGGAGTAAAGCAATATGAGTTATCTTGTCCATGACTGTGTGTCTGCCTTTCGAGAGTTCTGGTAATTATCCTTCTTCGAGGTTATATATATTGGGTACTCGTGTGGTCCCTCTGCGCAGTCCTCTGGATCAATTACCCCGTTTAGTGCTTAACCATATAATTTATCTCTCAGGCGTCCCTGAAGATTTTTTACAGTTAATACGAGGAAGCACCCTCTCAGTAACTTCCTCTTTGCACTAAGGAGACACAGTTACTCTCTGTAACCCTCTCCTTCAACTCTGGAGACACTGTTTAGCGGATTTTGATGGTGTTTTAATAATTATTGTTCACTCGGATTCAAATTATTAAATTAATAATAATAGATCCCGGACGAGCCCCCATGTGGTGAGATCTGGTACTACCTCAGCCCTGAAGAGCGCCTGGTATCGAAGTGGCCAGGTGCCTTTTGCTGTCAGGTCAGAATTTCTGGATAAACGTTCCTTATAGCTCATTTAACCCATACCAGTAAATCTAGGTGTATCCCTACACTCATGTGAACCAATACATTATTACTAGCAACAACCATCAATTCAATTCATACTCACCCTCCGTGGAGATGCTTCCGTGGAGTCCTGGTGACCTCTTGCCCTCGCAAGGGTTGCTTTAATGCTCTTACTATTGCTTATAGAACTGGTATTGTGACCCGAGGCAAAGAACTATTCAACTTTTATCTTTATAAAATGAAAATTTATTTATACAAACGATAATAACACTGGTTACACAATGATTGTTAATAGTAGCAACAAAAGAAAAGGTTACAGATTATAATACCTCAGTTTCTCCCAACTTAACAGGGCAGTCCTGTATAAGTGGTTCAGTCACAAAGTTTTTCTTAACATACACAGTTCAAGTATCAAATGAATAACTAACCTTGTCCTTCTATGAGCAGGTTAAGTTAACATCATACAGCTAAGCAGTTAAAGCAATATATGCTCCAGCAAGCTGGACTGAAGAATGATTATCCTCAGGGATGCACGCAGAATGTCTTCTAGCAAGACGCAACAACTAACACTGAGAAAGCAGCCTTATTTATACTGGCTGTGTGACACAATCTCTCAGACCATCTGGGTTTTTCCAACGGATACCCTTGCGACACAATAGTCATGCGACTCCTAGTTCCTCTTTTGAGATTCGCTGAGCAGGCACTACGTGTGCATTCTTTCTCCCCTTCCGAGTCTTGGGTTCTCTGGTCCTTCTTGAATGTGTACATGCATATAAATTCATATGTGTTTTTGTAAGTTCATTAAAATCTAAACTCTGCGGTACAAGATGCACATTTGCCCTTAGGAAGCAATAAACAATACCACATCATGTGCCTGTTAATGGAATATTTTATATATCATTTACTGTATTTAAATGGTCTTTGGAGATTTACTCACATTGAATGCAAAATACTCTGTAGTGTACATCAGTTTGTACATTAAAAAGGGCAGGACCTGCAAAGATATATACCCAAGGCAGTGTATACATTAAAATGGCTTTTATACAGTGTGTATCTTAAAGGAGTAGTTCACTTTTTAAAAAAACTTTTGCTGATAATTTACTCTCACCCCCATTTCATCCAAGATGTCCATGTCTTTCTTTCTTCAGTTGAAAAGAAATGAAGGTTTTTGATGAAAACATTCCAGGATTTTTCTCCATATAATGGACTTCAATGGGAACCAAACGGTTCAAGGTCCAAATGACAGTTTCAGTGCAAACTGCAAACTGTTCAAAGGGCTTTAAACGATTCCAGGCGATGAATAAGGGTCTTATCAAGCGAAACGATCGCTCATTTTAAAAAAATAATAACAAAGTTTAAGTTTTATAAGCTCAAATGCTCGCTTTGCTCTGTTCTGCGTTCGTGACTCTCCTGTTCAAACTCGTTCATCAAAATGAACGAATATTTTTTCGTGTCATTTGGTTCATTCAACGAACGAAATGAACGAGTTGACTCTGGAAAAGATTTGTTCATTTTGATGAACGAGTTCGAACAGGAGAGTCACGAACGCAGAACAGAGCAAAGTAAGCATTTGTGCTTATAAAACTTAAACTTAATTATTTTTTTAATGAGTGATCGTTTCGCTTGATAAGACCCTTATTCATCGTCTGAAATCGTTTAAAGCCCTTTGAAAAGTTTGCAGTTTGCACTGAAACTGTCTTTTGGACCTTGAACCATTTGGCCCCCATGAAGTCCATTATATGGAGAAAAAAATAAAAACCTTAATTTCTTTTCGACTGAAGAAAGAAAGACATGGACATCTTGGATGACATGCGAGTGAGTAAATTATCAGCAAAAGAAGTTTTTTTTTAAAAGCGAACTACTCCTTTAAGTATTAAACACCATCTTACTCAATCCCACAATGTTTTAAAAGAATAATAGCGTCCATGTTCAACTCTACAGTGCATTAATTTGACTGCAAAATAAAACATGTCTTTAAAAATAATATCAGAAGGGCTCATTTTAAAGGCTTGTCTTTGATGATAACAGATCAGGATATCAGTAGTGTGTGTGTGACAGACTGCTGTGTCTTTAGAGCTGTGTCTTCTGTCCCCGGGCCCCTGCTGTTGGCTGGATCGGCCCTCAGTGCAGCTCTGGCCTTTACTGAGACCCCTGGCCCTCGCTGACAGATGGAAGCTTTGTCACTCTTGCGCGTGACACTGGGGACCCGAGTCACAGATACGAGCTGCTTAAGGGCTTTTCATATGGAATTAAATGTCTCCAATTAGCACATACGGACAAACTGTTTAGAATTGTAAATAATTCCGTGTGTCTCTGGAATATTTGATTCTGATTGGTCAATCGCTGCATTCTGAGGTCCGAGGTCCCACTTTATAGCCCGCAATCCTGTAATAGTGGACAAATGTGGGCACAGAGGACTCGATCCCAATTTTTATTTATTATAAATGTTATATCACTGTCTTCGATAAAGTTTTGTCTATCCATTTACGGTGTTTTTTTTATTTTGGGGGTATTTATTTACTTCAAAAAGTCCCATATTTTTTATATAAATTATGCTTATTTTTATTTGTTATTTAAAAAAAAAAAAATGAACTACATTAAAATGTCATTCCAATAAGTTCTTAAAGCTAAAACCTAAAGATGAAGTGACTTTGCCGTCACCTGGTGTCTTATTTTGGCTTATTTTAGAATGCTCGTCTAAATTACAGTTTTTCCCATTCATTTCAACGGGTGCCCATTTTTGACCCAAATACAAGATTAAAGGGTTAGTTCACCCAAAAATGAAAATTCTGTCAGTATTTACTCACCCTCATGTTGTTCCAACCCCGTAAGAACTTCGTTCATCTTCGCAACACAAATTAAGATATTACGATCACTCCTGCATACTAGTCCATAGGCTTCTTGAGGGAATGACTTGCTGTCCTCAAAGTCATTAAAGACATCGTTAAAATAGTCCAAGTGACTACAGTGGCTCAATATTAAGTTTATCAAACAACGAGAACACTTTTGTGCGCAAAAAAACGACAAAAATAACGACTATAAATATGGATACATGAGCGATCTTAATATCTTAAATATCTTAATTTGTGTTGCGAAGATGAACGAAGGTCTTACAGGGTTGGAACAACATGAGGGTGAGTAAATACTGACAGAATTTTATTTTTGGGTGAACTAACCCTTTAAGGAGTTTTTTTTTTAACCCACTTAAAGGGTTAGTTCACCCAAAAATGAAAATTAAGTCATTAATTACTCACCCCCATGCTGTACCAACCCCGTAAGACCTTCGTTCGTCTTCGGAACACAAATGAAGATATTTTTTATTAAATTTGAGAGCTGGATCACTACCACATTGGCTCCTAAAGGACTGCCTCTTGACGGCCCAGAAAGTCAATGAAGAAAATGTTTAAATATCCCAAGTGACTACCGTGGCTCAACTATAAGTTTATCAAGCGACGAGAATACTTTTTGTGCGAAAAAACAAACAAAAATAACGAGTTTATTCGACTATTCCTTTTCTTCCTTGTTGGCCTGAAACGAGACTTCCTTAGATTTCCACGACGCACGCGTGAGAACTGCGATCTCCTTACACTACTTCAGTTCAGTTCTCGCGCATGCGTCGTGGAAATCTAAGGAAGTCTCGTTTCAGGCCTACAAGGAAGAAAAGGAATAGTCGAATAAACTCGTTATTTTTGTTTGTTTTTTCGAAGGTCTTACGGGGTTGGTACAGCATGGGGGTGAGTAATTAATGACTTAATTTTCATTTTTGGGTGAACTAACCCTTTAACATTGTAGAATTGAGTGTTCAGGAGGCAAACTTAGGAAAAGTAGCCAAGTCTTGTAGCGCTCAGATCAAGGGAAGTATTTTTTTAAAAATAAATCCAAACTATTTTGCCCACATTTGTCCAGAATACGGTTTTAGGGTTAATATATTGAATGATTTTTGCAAAAGTATCAAAAAAGTTCCTTTGAAATGAGCAATTATGAAGAGAGAACATGCAGAAGGTTGAAGATTGATTGGGATTCATTGTGTCCTGTGGCCTGAAGAGGGAGACACAACTGAAGCTGATGGTGAAGAAAGAAGATTTTAGTCTTTATTCGTTCAGTCTGTGAGTTTGTGTGCATGTTCTGACTGTTATACCTCTCTCTCCTGGACTCTTCTTCAGAGTGCATTATTGATCTAAAGGGGAGCTGAATAAAACATGTGCACATGTCCATTGTCAGCGAATGCACAGAGAATAGCTCAAGCGGCGGGTGCGGTTGCGAGAACGAGGAATCCTCTGAACTAGCGTCTGCGAGGTACAAAATTCGACTTCCAAACTCCGCTGACCGACAGTCCTACCGCAAGTCCTGAAGTGTATAGGTCGACGTCCGTACGCACATTTCTACGGCTGATATTTATTGAAAGAGAACAAGGCTAAGATGCAGAGAGAGGGAAAATCAATGCTGCTTTCCCCCAGCTCAGGTCTGGAGAGAGTAAAGCAGAAATGGCCGTTAAACTCCACCCGTAGCCGTGAAGCTCTTCATCGATTTTTTATTTGGCTCCCAGCAGTTATTGCTCCTCCACGGGCTTCTACCGCCTGGTGGACCGGGGGCCCGGGCCCCGCAGAGTTCGCGGTGAACTGGCTGTTAACAGAATTAAACTCCTATTTAGTCTCTGTGGCAGGGAATACACACACACTGCCTGCAGACAAGACCTGACAGCACATCTTATCCACTCCGCTGCAAGACTAACACGCTGCCAACATTCAGAGAGCCCACATATGTGTGCCAGCGAGCGGTGTGTGTGTGTGCTCGTGCGTGGGTGTGTTCATATAAACACGCGGCTGTGTTCATTTACTGAAGACTCTGGAAATGTTATTGTGTTAATTGGTCATGGTTTTATGGAAGCTCGCGATTGCGATGCAAAACAGATCGACTCGCCGTTGGATTGTCCGTCTCTTTGACAAACACAGACAGCTGGAACCCGCTTAAGCCCCTCGTTTGCCATCCGCGGATATTTTTTGGTGTGTACACACGACTGCCGTACGAGGAGACAACTTTAGGACGGGCTTTTGACTTCTTCTTGCTGGATAATGCTCAAACAGCAACATTAAACACTAACTAAAGTTGAAAAAGTGGAAAAGCATAATAGGACCCCGTTAAAGCTGGATGAGTGTTATGAGTGTCATGTTATCTCTCGTTCTATATATCATTCTGTCTATTGTTCGATTGATCTCCATTCAGTCTCATTTCTGTTTAGAAGTGTTTAAGATACTGTAAATATTTTTCTGTTCTATGGTCGATATTTTTGATCATTTTAAGATAATATATGTTACAATATTTTCACATTTTCTGAAGAAAATGTGAGTGGTGTTTGTGGAAAACTCTCAGGAGTGTTGTGCGTGGTCGATTGGTGTGGGATCCATGGTTACCAGGGCATTTCTATGCAGTCTCAGGAGTGTTGTGCGTGGTCAATTGGTGTGGGATCCATGGTTACCAGGGCATTTCTATGCAGTCTCAGGAGTGTTGTGAGTGGTCAATTGGTGTGGGATCTGTGGTTTCCAGGGCGTTGCTATGCAGTCTCAAGAGTGTTGTGAGTGGTCAATTGGTGTAGGATCTGTGGTTTCCAGGGCGTTGCTATGCAGTCTCAAGATTGTTGTGAGTGGTCAATTGGTGTAGGATCTGTGGTTTCCAGGGCGTTGCTATGCAGTCTCAAGAGTGTTGTGAGTGGTCAATTGGTGTGGGATCTGTGGTTGCCAGGGCGTTGCTATGCAGTCTCAGGAGTGTTGTGAGTGGTCAGTTGGTGTTGGATCTGTGGTTTCCAGGGCATTGCTATGCAGTCTCAAGAG